TATTTTCCCCCCAAAGCCCCAGTAGATAGTTGTATGTCATAGCTGCACATCCTTCTAGTTGCTGTATGTGGGACGCGGCCTCAGCATGGCCGGGGAAGCGGTGCGTAGGTGCACGCCCGGGATCCGAACCCCGGGCCGCCAGCAGCGGAGTGCGTGCCCTTAACCGCTAAGCCACGGGGCCGGCCCAATATGTTGATAAAATTCTCTGAGGGATGTTAGGTATCCCTATTCTGTTTGTTTTATTGCAGCTAACCTTTACATTGTGATTTTTTAAGCGTGCTGATGACATTACAAGTTTAGTAACAGATACTACACTTCTCGTACACTTTTTTGGAAAGAAAGGAAAAGCTGAGCTCAACTTTGAAGATTTTTATAGGTGAGCTTAATTTTTATATTTGTATTGAAAAATGTTAACATGCTAAAGTCAGAAAGGTCTTTAGGAATCATCTAGTATGCAGTGATACTCACCTCTTTGCTGCTGTCATCTTAACTGAGATGCTGTAACAAATATCCACTCCATCAGTACCTGTGTACCATTGGTTACATTGATAAGTACAACGGAAAGTTGCTGAGTGAGAAAAATAGTCTGCATATCTGGATTGATTGTTATTTCCTGTATATTCAGAAGAAAGTATATTATCAATTCCTTAGTCTTAATAAGCCACAGTAATAATAATAAGCATGTATATAGTGTTTACTGTAGTAAACACTAGGCGCTGCATTGACTCCTTTAAATCTCATCACTACCCTGCAAGGTATTTTTGGTGTCCCCATTTTACAGATGAAGAAGCTAAAGCCCTGAGAGGCTAGGTACCATGTGTTACCATCACTCTTCATTTGTCTTGTTCATTCTTTATGTTTTTGTCGTAGATTCATGGATAACCTCCAAACGGAAGTTCTAGAAATAGAATTCCTTTCCTACTCGAATGGGATGAATACTATCAGTGAAGAAGATTTTGCTCATATTCTTTTACGATATACAAATGTGGAAAACACATCAATATTCTTGGAAAATGTGCGTTACAGTATACCTGAAGAAAAGGTATCTAATCCCCCATATTTACTTTGTTATATACTTGTTATTATCTTGTAATAATATAGGTCTTTAAAATATATTGGGTTTCTTAGTTCTTTTGCTCCTCTGTGGATTAATAGATACTTTGGATATATTTCATTCTTTTTTTTCCTCTGTGTGCTAAGTACTCTGGCTAAACTTAAGAACTGATTAATTTAAAATTCTGGGTAGATATCCATTTTTTTCTTAGATATGCTGAAAACCCTTAAGGTTATTAGGAATTGTTTTATTCAAGTTATGAATATCATATTTCAAGAAAGTTCTGCTGAGCTGTATGTTTTGACTACTACATAAACATCAACTCCTATAAAATAGTTTATATTGACATCATTTCAGTCACACTTTATTCATTTCTATAATATCCGTAATAAAAGATCATATGAAGACCGCCATTGATGAGTGAGTGATCTTATCAAAAGTTGAAGTGAGGTTTTTCAAAGAGTTTGGATGGCATGAATGGTTAAGAACCTGGGACAACTGATTGTCTGTTTGTTTAGTAGCAAGTGTTTTGTCAGCAATTCTCAGCAGTTGCATTATCTAGTGGTATTTGAATGCATCATTGCAACCAAATAGAACTGGTGTTACAAGCACCCCTCCAAGTATGGGATGTTTTGGATATATTGCCTTCTATTTGTGTTTGTAGAGGGATCAAGTTAATCTTTCCAAGAAAAACTTGCAAATAGTCTGACTTTGTTTAAAATGGATACACTGTGACAGTGCTAACAGTTCTTCAGGTCACCTAAGGAATGAGAAAAAAGGCCTTGATGCATTTGGCTGTTAGTTTACATAATCTCTTAATCAGTGGTCTTTTATCTGTTAAACTGAATTTTTCCAGTTCATAGACACTTCCCTAAAGATAAATATTGGAAATTGTATTACTTTATCAAGCTACTAATGTATTATTCAGGGCCTTAAAAAAAATCTGCTTTTTTTTTCTTTTATCAAATGGAAATTTATAGAAATCTATAACTTAAGAAGTTCAATTCCAGGATGAAGAATGTATGGGAACTCTGTACTGTTTTTGCAACTATTTTTTACATCTAAAGTTATTTCAAAATAAAAAGTTTTAAGTTAAATTCAGCTTCTGAAAACTTCTAATTGATGGAAGTATCTTCAGCACTACAAATCATTACAGTAAAAAAGGAAAATTTGTCAAGTGAACCAGCATTGATTCTCACTGATTTGTTTTTTCTTTTTTTTGCATTACTTCATCAATCTTTAGAACAACCTTCCAGAAATCGACATCTTTCTTTTAGAAAAAGGCAAGCTGAGGCTTTCAGGTACTTAGACACTTGCCCAAGGATTCAAACCTAAGACTCTAAGCCAGTGACACTCCTACCACACCCTACTTATGTCTTTCCCTTCCTTTCATCTCTCAGCCCCTTCTCTCCAAAAGAATAACAGCTACTACTATTTGAATAGCACTTTAATTTCTAAAATACTTTCATTTCCCTTCATTTATCTAGCAGATATTAAGCATCTACTATTTACTAGGCCTTATTGTAGCCACTATAGATAAGTGACAAGATAATAGATCCTTCTCTCATGAAAATACATCTTAGTGGAGAGATACAAAAAACAAGTAAAAAGTAAATAAATGATATATTTTCAGATAATGATGAATTTTATGAAGAGGACCAAAAGTCATAGGGACTGGAGAAGAAGATAGACTGTCAGGGAAAGCTTATCTGAAGCAGTAGCTTTTGATGAAGAACATTCCAGGCAGAAGAAACAGCAAATACCAAGGGCCTGGGGATGGAGAAAGTTAGTTTATTTGAGAAATTGCCAAAAGGGTAAAGTAAGTGAATAGGAAAGTAGTAGGAGATGAAGGAGAGATAGAGATTTGTCAGGTCTTATAGATAAGGAGTTTGATTTTATTCTAATGGTGATTCTGAGAGTGATGGGAAGCTACCATAGCATTTACACTTTAAAGCAGGAATCGGCAAACCACCTACCTCCTATTTTTGTAAATAAAGTTTTATTGGAACACAGCCACGCTCATTCTTTTAATGTATTGTCTATAGCTGCTTTTGTGCCTTAATGGTAGAGTTGAGTGGTTGCAACACAGCCCGTATAGCCTGCAAAAATAAAAATATTTACTCTCTGGCCCTTTATAGTAAGGATTTGCCAACCTTGCTTTAGAGCATAGGTGTGATGTTTGTTCATTCAACAAATACTTGTTCAGTGAGTATTTGCTATCTACTATGACACTCAAAGGTGATCTGATTCATGTGCCAGATATGATCTGATTCATGCTTCAATAGATCGTCTTAGCTGGTATATACAGAATAGACTTTAGTTGGCCCAGCTTTGAAAGAGACAAGTTAGGATGTTTTTATAGGAGTGTAGGTAAGAGATGAGCATGGCTTGGACTAGGGTGAAAGTAGGGAAAAGTGGTCAGATACTGGATCATTTGAAAAGTAGAGCTGATAGAACTTGCTGCTGGATTAGACTTCAATATGAAGGAAAAAGAGGAATCAAGAAAAACTCCTAGGTTTTGGCCTGAACCACAAGGTGAAGCAGTGGTGCCATTTACTGAGCTAAGCAAGACTACAATTTGGGGGGTTGGAAAGAATCAATAGTTTTATTTTGGGCAAGTTAGGTTTGAGATTCCTGAGATATCTAAGTGAAGAAATTACGGAGGCAGTTGGATGTGTGACTCTAGCAATCAGATGCAATCAGGACTACTTTTGGTAGTCAGTGTATAGACTTCCAAATGTGTCTCTCCAGCTTAAACTTCTGCCCTGAATTTCAAACTTTTACATCATACTGCCTACTCAGCATCTCCACTTGGGTATCCGATAGACATTTCAGGCTTAGTAGTTGCAAAACTAAACTCCTGATCATCCAAAAAAATCTTGCTCCACACACGATCTTCCCTGTTTCAATTAATGGAAACTCCACCCCTCCTAGTTGTTCTGGCCAAAATTTTTACACTCCTTCCTCTCACATTCTATAAACAATCCATCAGCAAATCCCCCTGACACTGCCTCTGTCAGAATTTGACCACTTCTTGCCACCTCCGCTGCTACCACCCAAGTCACCATTCTCTCTTGCCTGGATTGTTGCAGTTGCCTCCTAAATCATCTCTCTGCTTCCAGCGTTGCCTTCCAGCGTTGCCTCCCTGCAATCTGTTCTCCATTTGGCATTTAAGGAAATGCTTTATTCCACAATTCAGATCTTATCATAGTAACTCCCCATTTTTCTCAAAGTAAAAGCCAGAATCCTTACCATGGCCTACAAGGCCGCCATAAGCTGCTCCCTTGTTACCTCTGACCTCATTTCCTACTGTTCTCCCCTTTGCTTACTCTGCCCCAGCCACACTGGCCACTCACTGTTTCTTAATACCAGGCAGTCTTCTATCGCAGGAATTTTGTGTATGTTCTTTTCTCTGCCCAGAATGCTCTTCTTTTAGATGTCCACAAGGCTCACTGTGTTATTTCTCAATCAGGTCTACCCTTTCAATGTAATATGTAAATAATCACCTATTATATAAATAATATATAACCAACTTATTATGTAAGTAATAGCCTGATATATAAATTATAACCCCCTCTCTTGGCATTCCCTACCCCTTCTTCCCTTAATCTGTTTTTTTGGTTTGTTTTGGTTTTATTGAGGTCATAATAGTTTATAACATTGTGAAATTTCAGTTGTACATTATTATTTGTCAGTCACCATATAAATGTGCTCCATCACCTCTTGTGCCCACCCCCAACCCCTTCCCCTCTGGTAACCACTAAACTGTTTTCTTTGTCTGTGTGTTAGTTTATCTTCCACATATGAGTGAAATCATATGGTGTTTTTCTTTCTCTGTATGGCTTATTTTGCTTAACATAATACTCTCAAGGTCCAACCATGTTGTGAAGGGGACGATTTTGTCCTTTTTTATGGCCGAGTAGTATTCCATTGTATGTATATACAACATCTTCTTTATCCAGTCATCAGTCAAGGGACACTTGGGTTGCTTCTACTTCTTGGCTATAGTGAATAATGCTTCAGTGAACATAGGGGTGCATAAGTCCCTTTGAATTGTTAATTTCAGTTTCTTTGGATAAATACCAAGTAGGGGGATAGCTGGGTCATATGGTATTTCTATTTTTAATTTTTTGAGGAATCTCCATACTGTTTTCCATAGAGGCTACACCAGTTTGCATTCCCACCAGCAGTGAATTGAGAGTTCCCTTTTCTCCACATCCTCTCCAGCATTTGTTATTTTTTGTCTTGGTGAGTATAGCCATTCTAACAGGTGTAAGGTGATATCTTAATGTAGTTTTGATTTGCATTTCCCTGATGATTACTGATGTTGAATATCTTTTCATGTGCCTATTGGCCAGCTGTATATCTTCTTTGGAAAAATGTTTGTTCATATCCTTTGCCCATTTTTTGGATAGGTTGTTTATTTTTTTGTTGTTCAGTTGTGTGAGTTCTTTATATATTTTGGAGATTAACCCCTTGTCATATATATGGTTTGTAAATATTTTCTCCCAGTTGGTGGGTTGTCTTTTCATTTTGTTCCTGGTTTCTTTTGCCTTGCAGAAGCTCTTTCTTCTGATGAAGTCCCACTTGTTTATTTTTTCTTTTGTTTCCCTTGTCTGAGTAGACATGGTATTTGAAAAGATCCTTCTAAGACCAATGTCAAAGAGTGTACTGCCTATATTTTCTTCTAGGAGTTTTATGGTTTCAGGTCTTACCTTCAAGTCTTTGATCCATTTTGAGTTAATTTTTGTGTATGGTGAAAGATAATAGTCTACTTTCGTTCTTTTGTATGAGGCTGTCCACTTTTCCCAACACCGTTTATTGAAGAGACTTTCCTTTCTCCATGTATGTTCTTAGCTCCTTTGTTGAAGATTTGCTGTCTGTAGATTTGTGTTTTTATTTCTGGGCTTTCAATTCTTTTCCATTGATCTGTGTTGTGTTTTTGTACCAGTACCATGCTGTTTTGATTCTTACAGCTTTGTAGTATATTTTGAAGTCAGGGATTGTGATGCCTCCAGCTTTCTTCTTTTTTCTCAGGATTGCTTTAGCTATTCGGGGTCTTTTGTTGCCCCGTATGAATTTTAGTATTCTTAGTTCTATTTCCATGAAGAATGTCATTGGGATTTTGATTGGGATTGCATTGAATCTGTAGATCACTTTAGGTAGTATGGACATTTTTACTATATTTATTCTTCCAATCCATGTGCATGGACTATCTTTCCATTTCTTTATGTCATCATCGATTTCTTTCAGTAATGTCTTATAGTTTTCATTGTATAGATCTTTTCCCTCCTTGGTTAAATTTATCCCTAGATATTTTATTCTTTTTGTTGCAATCGTAAATGGGATTGTATTCTTAAGTTCTCTTTCTGTTAGTTTGTTATTAGAGTATAGAAATGCCACTGATTTTTGTAAGTTGATTTTGTACCCTGCAACTTTGCTGTAGTTTTTGATTATTTCTAATAGTTTTCTGATGGATTCATTAGGGTGTTCTATATATAAAATCATGTCATCTGCAAACAGCGAGAGTTTCACTTCTTCATTGCCTGTTTGGACTCCTTTTATTTCTTTTTCTTGCCTAATTGCTCTGGCCAAAACCTCCAGTACCATGTTGAATAAGAGTGGTGAGAGTGGGTGCCCTTGTCTTGTTCCTGTTCTCAGAGGGATGGCTTTCAGTTTTTCCCCATTGAGTATGACGTGGGCTGTGGGTTTGTCATATATGGCCTTTATTATGTTGAGGTAGTTTCCTTCTATACCCGTTTTATTGAGAGTTTTTATCATAAATGGATGTTGGATCTTGTCAGATGCTTTTTCTGCATCTATTGAAATGATCATGTGGTTTTTATTCCTCATTTTGTTAATATGGTGTATCACATTGATTGATTGGTGGATGTTGAACCATCCCTCTGTCCCTGGTGTAAATCCCACTTGATCATGGTGTATGATATTTTTAATGTGTTGCTGTATTCGGTTTGCGAATATATATGCATGTTCATGTCCTGAATGACATATTTCAATAAGTATATGTAATTTTCTATTGTGGTAAAAACACATAACATAAAATTTACCATTTTAATCATTTTAAAGAGTAAAATCTGGTGGCATTAACTATGTTCACAGTGTTGTGCAACCATCACTATTACTAGTTCCAGAACTTTTTCATCATCCCAAACAGAAACCCCATATCCATTAAGCAGCCACTCCTCATTCCCCTTCCCTCAGCCCCCAGCAACCACTAAAATGCTTTCTGTCTCTATGGATTTGTTTATTCTAGACATTTCATATATGTGGGACCATATACAATATGTGACCTTTTGTGTCTGGCTTCTTTAACTTAACATTATTTTTTCAGTGTTTATCCAGGTTGTAGCAAATATCAGTACTTTATTCCTTTTTATTGCCAGGTAATATTCCATTATATAGATATACCACATTTTATCTATTTGTCAGTTGATGGACATTTGAATATTTTCCAATTTTGGCTATTCAAATAATGCTGTTATGAACATTTGTATACAATATTTTATGTGGAAATCTGTTTTGAATTCCAGAGAATTAGGTATATATCTCAGAGTAAATAGCTGGGTCACATGGCAACCTTAATGTTTAACATTTTGAGGAACTGCCAAACTGTTTTCCAAAGTAGCTACAGCATTTTAAAATCCCATTAACAATGTATGAAGTTTCTGATTTCTCCACATCCTCACCAACACTTGTTATTGCCTGCCTTTTTAATTTTAGCAATCCTAGTAGGTGTGAAGTGGTATCACTGTGGTTTTGATTTGCATTTCCCCAATAAATAATGATGTTGAGCATCTTTCCCTGTGTTTGTTGGCCATTTGTATATCTGTTTTGGAGAAATGTCTATTCAAGTCCTTTGCCCATGTTTTATTTGGGTTGTCTTTTTGTTATTGATCTGTAAGAGTTCTTTATATATTCTGAATATTGGACTCTTATCAGATATATGATTTGCAAATATTTTCTCCCATTCTGTAGGTTGTCTTTTTCTTTCTTGATAGTGTCCTTTAATGCACACAGGTTTTTAATTTTGAAAAAGTCTCATTTATCTGTCTTTTCTTTTGTTGCTTATGCTTTTGGTGCCATATTTAAGAAACCATTGCCAATTTCAAGATCATGAAGTTTTTTCTCTGTGTTTTTTTGTAAGAGTTTTAGCTATTAAATTTCAGTCTGATCCATTTCGAGTTAATTTTTATATATGGAGTGAAGTTAAAGTCCAATTTCTTTTTTTTACATATGGATATCCAGTTATCCCTGCACCATTTGTTAAAGAGACTGTTCTTTCTTCAATAGATGGTCTTGGCACCCTTATTGAAAATCAGTTGACTGTAGATATTTAGGTTTATTTCTGGATTCTCAGTATGTGTGTATTTTTGATACTTTAAATTTTTCAGTTATCATCATTTTATTTTTGTTAAAATAGAAGCTACTTCTTTTTACTCCACATCTTAACAATTAGGACACATTCCATTCAGTTCCCAATGGATCATTACAGAAGTGATTCTGGGCGTGAGAGTGGGGAGGGAGAAGAAATGGCCATGCCCCCTCTTTCTGCCACTCACCCAGACTGTCTTTACCTCAGTACTGTCAAGAATGGATTGCTTTAAACTATCTCTATCAAAATGAATGCCTTGCTTTTCAATTACAATTCCATATTTGGAATCCGTAAACACAAAGATTTTAATCTACACAAAAGAATTATTGTATGGTTTTGAATTTGACCTACCTTTTCAAACATGAGAACCCTATTTTGAAAAATCTAAAGGTTATTTGATTTGCTTTTTAATTTTATGCTCCCTAAAAGTATTGACATTTTTGTTTACACTTTGCTTAAAAATATCCCACCCTCCTGTTTTTCACTTTTACCAGCATTAACCTGTCACCCTGAGACAAAGACTGTTGCTGTGGCAGCTGGTCGCAGCATAAACTGATTCAGAACCAGAGCAGTGACCAGTTTCCCTGGCAACAAGCTCTCCTCATCAAGACAAACCCCTTCTGGCTCAGTCTCCCTAACTGATTCAAACAGTCCTCTCTGGAAAACATGGCAGGTGGGATCGGGTCACAAAGCAGAATCCAGAGTTGGAGTGGCTGTAAATGAATATAAGGAAAGAGAGAGAGAGAAATGTTAAGAGAAAAGACAGTGAGGATTCTCCTTGTAAATAAAGAGGGATTGTAATCTAAGTGGAAATAATGTATACCAAAATTTGGAATTATTATTTCGATAATAAATATTATTTTGATGATAAAGCACTTAATCAGTAGTTGGCTTATGTGAAAATAGGCTCTTCTGGTTCTTTCCATAGCTTTCCAATGCTGCCTTGTTAGTTTCTCTACCCCTGCGGTGTATTAAGGTCAGAATTTGTTAAGCCTAAGCTCTTGGCCCTCTGCTCTTTTCTCTGTTTACTTTCTCAATTATGTTAATTTTGCTGAGAACACATTAATTAAATGCCGTTCTTCATGTCCAAATTTGTATTATCTGAGATACATTGTGCTTATTTCAAATAACTTTCCTGTTTAATTGAAGTAATAGCAGTAGCAGTAGTTGCAATTTATGTGAAGGACATTGCAGAGGCCTTTCCAGGATCCCACACCGAGTCCTGTGCTGGGCCTCCCCAAGCTGTATGCGTACAGTCGTACTTCCCCTGCTGTCCTGGCAGCGTTATCATGGCAGGAACAAGTTAAAATACTCTACTCTTGGCTTGTTTAACATTTTGATTTTGCATAGTCATTATAAAGACATTAATGACCTAATGCTGAATTATATTTAAGGACTACATGTACAGGGGAAACTTTTTTTAGGGGTTTTTTCCTCTTTCTTTTTTTTTCTTAATCATATTTACTTTCAGCGTTTAAAAAATTCAGGCCTGAAATACAGAGTTTTCAAAATTGAAACTTTTAAATTCATTTTTATTGTAGCATTTTTGGAACTTTGTGCTGATATGACAGTGTTTTTAAAGTATTTTCACCTTTCCTTGCTAATGGTAACAACACTACCCAGTGGAAATAAATCGCAGTGAATTTTACATTCCATTTGGAAAAAGAAGTTTTCAGAATGTGCCCTGGTAATGTTTACTTACAAGATATATTGCAGATGCTTAATCTATTTATTTCTAGTAAGTGTAGATACTTATTTTAATAAATTTGGCAATACCAAATATATTTACATATCTTCTCCCAAAATAGGGCATCACATTTGATGAATTCAGGTCTTTTTTCCAGTTTTTGAACAACCTAGAAGACTTTGCCATCGCCTTGAACATGTATAATTTTGCAAGTCGTTCTATAGGGCAAGGTAAGTAATCATCTTTCAAAAATTAAAAACAAAAAATAATCCTACATTGTCTCTAGGGACTTTGACAACAAATTAATTAGATATATCATATTAGCCATCAACTTGCCTGAAAGTTTGGTGTATACTTCAATGGAAAATCTGTTTTCCCTAAGCAAAGTTTAGAGAAATATGCGAAATTTTTGTATTAAATTTATTCTTGCCCTTCATTTCATATAATGGGGAAAAGCTAATCATGTTTGTAAAGGTTCAAAGAGGAAGAAACTTCACGGCCTCTTGGTAACATGGAGGATATGTGTCTAGCTATAGAGGAGCCAGCTGGCCATGCCTCAGACATCATCACAGGATGGTATTTATATTACTGATTTTACCCACAATCCCTGCTGGCTCAGAAACCTGAATTTTGTCAACAGAGCCACCTCTTAGCTTACATTAACCAAGTTTTAAGAATGATATACAAAACTGAATGTCAGTTTTGCTTAATTTACAAAGAAATGCAACTGTCATCGAATTCAGAGTGCTATTGTTCTCAGGGGCAGCTCATTTTTTCCCTGTAGATAGACTAACAAGTCAAGTCCTTTTTCTAGGATTCTGTGGCTATGACCACTTGCCTTCCCTGCGTGGCCATCTCCTTTTTTAATATTCTTGCCATATGAGGACTTTCTGTTTATGTCTGTAATGTGATTTCACCTGCATCTGCCATAATCTAATAAGTGCTAGTTCCCAAGCTTAAGTCTCAGAGGAGTCTTCTTATTTTATTACCGAGTTCTAGGGAGGAGCCAGACTGCAGCCTGTACGTGCTAATGAGCTAATGATAATTGTCTCCCTCCCAAAAACATAGATACTGACTCCCTCATATAGCTTCCTTCATTTATTCACTGGGTAAGAGAAACCTGAAGATTTTTCATATTTCACCCTTTGTCTAGTCCAGATGTTCAAATAACATATCTTCTCAACTCAATCCATTTTAGTGTTTTAAAACCAAAACCTTTGGGAGCCCTGCCTTCACAGGCCAGCCTTTACTACCGTGTTAAACCTACTAATCAACCTTAAAAAGAAAAAAGCAAGTCAGTATCTGCTTACCTGGTTCAGAATGGAAAGTTGCTCTTTTACTTTGTGGAACTGGGAAACGAAAAAAATTAATTGCTCACTCTTGCAGGTGCCAGGAATCTCTCTCTTTCCTGTTCCACTCCTAGCACCTTGATTCAGGTTATTACCTTTCAGAAGGACTGTTGCAGTAACCACCTCAGTGGTGTTCCTGCCATTCTCCGTTTTCCTGTCTGATATTTCCTAGACAACTCACAGAATAATCATCCTAGAACACAGATTAACCTTTCTACCACACGCCTCTGTGGAAGACGCTTCAGTGCCCCATTACCTGAACGTTCAGCACAGGCTGCTTGCCTCCAAGTCCCTGTGCAGAGCTTCTGCAGCTTCTGTCTGTCCCTGGGCTCTGCCCAGACCAGCCTGCTCATTGTTTTCTGACCTGCCCTATACTCTCCTGTCTCCCCCCATGCCTTTGTTCCTTTATGTTACCTCATCTGCCATTTCTCCCATCTCTGCAAGCTGAAATCGTCTGTCCTTCAGAGCTCAGCTTGTATACAAAGTTGCAGCCTTTCCTAGTCACTGCCCTTCTCCTTCCTTTCCCTACTCCATACTACAGAAATAGTCGCTCATTTCAAATTCTCACAGTGCTTTTTTGGTATTTGTTGTGTGCTCCTGTATAATGATTTTTGGGCAGGTGCCTCATCTCCCACCTCACCTGTAAGTTTCTTGAGAACTTATTCATCTTAATAACCTCTAGAGTGTCTGTCGCAGATAGTAGGTGCTCACTGAACATGACTCATGGGCTAAGAATGCGTAATTAACCTAAGATACAGCTGCCTCTTGGCCTGTAATTAAAACCGCAAACATTTCTTGTTCCCTGAAAGGTAGCATGATTAATGAAAAGTCGTGTGTTACACAAGATCATGACCCACGTTTAGAAAATAATTCTCTTATAGCCTTTTTAGTAATCAGCACATATTATAAAAATAATGTTAACAGTCTGCTCCTTTTCTGTAACATTTATCTAGATGAATTTAAGCGTGCCGTCTATGTAGCTACTGGCCTCAAACTTTCACCACATTTAGTGAACACAGTCTTCAAGATTTTTGACGTTGACAAAGATGATCAATTAAGTTATAAAGAATTTATTGGAATTATGAAAGACAGACTCCATAGAGGATTCCGGGTAAACCTATAAATTTCAAGCCTATTGATATTCTTTTTTAAATCTGAAAGAAAAAAAATCCATCTAAGTTTCAGAAATAATTTATGTAAATTTTTAAGGATACAAACTGAAATGTTATGTTTGAAAAGAAAAAACATAAGGCCTTACCTACCTTCAAAAACAATTTGAGGTGATAAAAGATAATGCTTTTTTAAAATATAAAATCAGCTTGAATTTCAATAACTTATTTTCATATTCACTTACTTTAATGTCTTCACCTCAATTTGGGGGGCGGGGGAATGTTGCCAAATATTTTTGATTAATTCAGTCTGCACACTGGTTATTCAGACTTGTTACTACACAAGAAATACCACTATTTCTCATTTTATATGACACAGATTTCCACTAGGCAACTTGAGGCTAAATCACTGCGTATTCAGTACTTCTCATGGAAAGTAAAGGGAAAAACGTTTTTTGTCTGATGAACTTGTTTTTTCTGTTAACATCTTATACTGCAAACTAATTACTAGAAATTCAATGATTTTTTTCTCAGAAACATTTTAAAGAATCAAATATAGCATAAATCAATAAATGTTGACACATCTAACATTTGTGGATGTGCCACAAATGGAAAAAAAAAATTTTTTTATTAAGATTAACAGCTAGACTATTCCATTTTTCCCTATTTGAATACCCCTAAGTGTTATATGTTTAGAAAAAGTTATATATACAAAAAATCAAAATTCATCTTAGACCATGTTTTTAAAGATTTTTAATGATTCTTTAAAATCCAAGCTGTCTTGGTAAAGATACTGTGTACTTAGCTGCCACCTAGTGGTTAGTTGTTAACATTTGAAATGATGGCACAAATACCTAAAGGGCAGACCTTGAAAATCATTTATTTTTCCTCAAAAATTTTAGAGTAACAAGATCAAATTAAAATATAAACTATGCTATAAACCTCTGACACTGTATTGCTCTCTTAGGTGTTATGTGTTATTTTTGCTTTATTCATTTATTGCATACCTGTGGCCCCATAATATTTTATTGACATTTACGCACTTTCAATCCTCTCTTCCACAGGGTTATAAAACTGTTCAGAAGTATCCCACTTTCAAATCCTGTCTGAAGAAGGAACTTCATAGCAGATAAGTATGTTAGCTTCTCTGTCTAAATTTGTTCAGTAACAAGTATGTTAGGTTCTCTGTCTAAATTTGTTCAGTAACAATAAAGGAAGGGTCATAATTTATTTTTCTATTACAACATTTAGGAAATAGCTGAATGAAATGTAATTTATTTTTAATTTTTAGGCCACTAATTCAGTGTAAGAACTAATCTTTTAATGATTTCATTTTAGACCAGTAGTAATTCAATTTAAGAATTAGTCATTATAACAAAGCATTAGTTTGCCACTATTAAGTTGTGATCTAAAAGTGAACTGAAATAAATGGTCATCTGACTGGAATTCTTTTGGAGTGTCTTCATTGAAAAATTTTCTGTTTAACCTGCAGTTTTATATGTGAGCAGATACAATATAATGAATCCAAACTGGATTTTTATAATCTAGGGTCATTAGCATCTAAGGAGAATTGTTACTGATTTTTAGGATCATGATTTGAAACATCTACTACAATAATAGCAGCTAATTTTTTTAGAGTTACTTTAGGTGGCTGGCACTATAGTAGGTGTTCTTCCCCCATATAGTATCTCATTTAATCCTCACAACTAGATGTCCCATTTAACAGCAGAGGAAATAGAGGCTTAGTGAGTCATTTGCCCAAGATAACTTGCTAGTAAGTGGCAAACCAGGATCTGAGCCTCCTTCTGTCTGATGGCAGAGCCAACATATTTATTATTTACTAAACACCATCACCATAGAATGCAGAAGATACAGGAGATTCATTCAGTTTGTATCAACCCAAAGAAATATCTCAAACTAGTTGCAGAACTCCAAAATGGTTTCTTTTTCCTTTTTTCTTTTAAAAGTCAACTGTAGCTATAAAATTTTGGTCAGTTGTGGGTTCTGATTAGTTAGGTCTCTACAGTGAAGGTTTTGTTCATTTATACATGCTTGCAAATATATATTTCTTGCTGTTTTTCTCAAGCTTGAAACATTTATATTTGTCTATGGCAGTGTTACCCAAAGTGGTTCCATAGGATATCAATGCATATTATACTTTTTTTTAAAAAAAAAGAAAACTACTTAGTCAAATAAGTTTGAGAAATATAATAAACATGGTTAAATAGGTTCCTTTTCCCTTAGAATCGATCACATCTTAATATGCCACTATTCACTTGTCTCTTTAAAAGAAAACTATAGTATTCAGTATTTTGCAAAGTAGCTTTGAGACCTAATGTGTTTTGGAACCCATTTTGGGAAATGCTGTTCTAAAATGCTTAGTGGCAAGTAGGTTTATTATTTATCTAAGGTGGTAACTGCTGTGATTGAGCTAACAAAAGAAGTCAGGTCTTCCTAATGTCTATTCTTAGGAACTTTATATTGTCCTATAAGAAAGTAAACGTTAAAAAAAAGTAGGACTGTACCATTTATATGTCCATATGGGTAGTGTTCCCAACCAACTGTAATAGTGTCACATTGGCACTGTTGCGTCTATGTAGTAGTACATAGAACCGTAGATAAAAATGACTACATTTATTCTAGACCTTCATAAGACTGAGGATTAGACAAGTTACTAAACAAAACACTGAATTTTTAAATTAAAGAAAATGTTTTATGATTAAGTCTTTGAATCTTATATTTTCTGTTGGGTGTTTTTATTATGTACCTCACTGTCTCATTTTCATAATAATATTTGATTAATGCCATCACCTCTGAATTTCATCCTAAATAAATATCGTTTATATATATATTTTTTTTAATTAGGTACTTCTAAAGCAAAGTTTAAAGGATGATTATCCACGTGACAAATGCAAGAAGCAAAATTTTCAGAGTGGAAGGAGGTCTGAGATCAGAACATGTAGAAATGAAGGAAAAGGTGAAACGCTAATTATAATTTTTTCTTGAACTGAATTCTTGAACATAAAACAATTAAGTGTATCTTCACTAACTACAAATGTTATGTGCTATCAAGTTGAGCTTTTGCCTTGATTTACTGAACTCTCTGCACTTTTTCATTCCCTTCAGAAGTATATAGATACTTCCAATGACTATGTCAGAATGTATTTTAAATATTTTTTTTAATTTATTAGAAATTTGCCTCATTTCAAAATAATGTATGACTCATGGAATCTAGGTCACTTAAAAATGAACAACAACATATTTTCTTTGATTTTGGACTGTGAACTTACTTTCAGAAAATGAATGTTCCTTGAGATTTATCTTAGGGCCCTTAGAATTGTTAAAAAGTCCTCATTATTTACCAGGTTTTTAATTACTTAGAAGTAATTTTGGAAAACAAATAGAAATGAAGCTACTGTATAATTTGACGGTTTACATTGTGCTTTTAACTTTTAAAAGTACTTAACATATATTGTTTCAATCATATAAAGTTTTTTAAAAGTTTTTGTTTAGTTACCAAAGTCAACAGAATGTCTGTTATTCTTTTATGTATACAGTGAAGAAATTTAAAATGTAGATTTTTTCCTCAAAACAAGTCATCCATCGATGGTAGAAACAGTGGTAGTTGTAGCTGTAGTCGCTGTCATTGTCATGATCGTCTTAAAAGTGAAGCTGCTCCTAATTGCAGGTGGCAGGTGTTAATAACACTACTAAAAATAGGATCTTACAGCCTGGTAACTTATTGCATATTGTCAGTATATGTCTGTAGTGTCAAAATGAGTACTATAAAAGAGTAATATAAAATGGTTTAGGAGACTGATGTATATATTAGGTAGAAGTTAATATTTTAATATTTTGTTTCTTGTAAAAGGACCACATGCAAAAGTGATACCACACAACCAGTAATAATGACTAATTTAAGTATAATTCATTATTTCAAAATAATATCTTAAAAGAGAAAAGAAAAACTTTCTATCAAAAAAATTAGATTTTCACATGGAGAAAATAATTCAATAGTACTTAACGGAAATCTATTCAGTTAAAAAGTATAGTTTATAAAAGAGTACAATAAAAAATAGAACAAGGAATTTAATTAATATATTTATATATTGTATGTGGAAGATAAGTTGGTTTATCTTCTTTTCTAAGATGTATTTAATATAAATTGCACACACTCCAACTATTACCTTGCTTTTGCCTATGAAAATAGGAAATACTGACTTTGTTTTTGTAAGTTATTAAATGTGAAATTGATAGTTCTGCATCACCCTATTTATAAAAGTAATGTTATTTCCAAGAAAATATTATTAGCGTTGACTATGTATTTGTTAGACTTTTTACATTCTTTATCTGATAGTATTTATTACATTGATATAGAAATATATGATTCATAAGTTTGAGGATTCCATATAGTATAATAATTTAGTTTCATTTGCTTTGAAAGTTGATTCAATTGATTGACTAAATAAATGCTTCATTTAACGTGCCCCAGGTCTAGTTTAAAATAATTGAAAAAATATAATTTACTTTTATCTTTGACTATAAGTTATATTATCTTGCATACTTGGAAAAATTGCTATTTAGAACAGTCCTATAAATATAGATTAAAAACTGAATTAGCTCATTAAAATTCTTTATAATTCTGTCATTTCCCCAAGGAATACTACATATGCAATCTTTATTACTTATCAGAGTGAATGGATATTCATCTGTTTATAAGACTGCAGTATAACATTAAAATGGGAATAAATAAAATATTCTAATCAATTAAAATGGAAAAGAGTAGTAAATTACAGTGATTCCTTATATTATCACTCTTGAACTTGATCATCTATAAAATGGAGGTAAAAATATCTCATTGGATTGTTGTTTACATCAATTAAAAAATTTTAAATGCGTTGAAAATAGTAATGTACTAAATATGTCTATGCTGTTCTCAGTATTTCCATCTGCAAATTATTCTTTGGAAAGAGAAAGCTATACATAAAGTTTTAGTATAATACTCTTTACAGAAAGTCTACATGATAAAAGGTTTATGGTACTTCTCAGAATCATATTAAGAAATTTATTTAACTTTAACTTAAGTTCCAGTTTATTGTTCTTATTATAAAATATAATTGTAAAGCAAACTGTCTTACATTCTTATATTATCTTAAAATAAATATACCTGCTCTTGAATCAAGAAACTTAGTACTTTGCTTTTTTATATATCTGTGAACTAATGTCTTTCCAAAAAATGTCATCTCCAAACTTTGGAAAACTTTGTTGGTTACCAAACCTCCATTGATCTTATACCCTCTGCTATAGCAATACATGCCCATGAAATTAATCTCATCAACACTAAATAAATCACAGAGCCATAAAGCCTCTCAAAGGGTATAGTAGGAATTCATACATTATAGAATTATGGTCATTGTACTGGAAAGCTTTCAGAAAATTTACATGTGACTTAATGGAGTATCAGTTATGCTTTACAGAACTGATAGTTTAAATGGCTTAAAGTAATTAAACCCAGCAGCCCCTGTTTTACTAATGTTGGTATTTTGTAGATATCATCTTACTAAGACAACTTCTAGAAATTTACCAGTTTTCAAAATACATTAATTATCCTACTTTTTATAGCCATACAATAAATTAACATTTTATAGTGCTTTTACTTCCAAAAGATGTAAAAATATGAATTGTGTATATTCAATAAGTACAAATAAAAATTTTAAATGATAAGAAAGCATTGTGGTTTTTTCTTTTAATTGGCAGCATTTTTACTTTCTTAGTAGCTCATAAAATAATGGTGCATCTTGCAATCAATCACATCTTAAATTCTGTGAAATATTGGATAATGAAAATCAGTGCAAAGATATAATTCTCTTTACATCTTTATATCTTTATAATTCTTTTTATAACACAATCAGTATTTTGGGCACACATTTTAAAAACTGAGGAATATAACTATAATTGTGACTATATGCATATAAATATACAATGCTCAGAGGAAGTAAAAACATTATTATAAAAGTTTTCTGGAAAAGATAAATTTTGTCCAATGTTGTAAAGAAAGAGAAGGACCAGTGTGTATGAGAAGTAGAACAGAGAAAATAAGAAGAGAATGGAGAAGGGATCTGAATAAGAATAGATTTTAAAAATTGGGATTGAGTAGACAGTTTTTAGAAAAATAAACATAAAGAAATGCAAGTTAAATCAGTAATGACAATGCATCCTTTCACATACCAGATTGAAAAGGTAGAATGGTTTTGTTGTATATAGTGTTGGTAAGTGTGTGGAGTAATTGCTGGTAAGGCTGTAAATTTGAGTCCAACATCTTTGGAGGGCCATATAGAAATATCTCAAAGTTTTGACCTAGAATTTTACTTCTGGGATTGTAGTATTCCAAAACATATATTTATAAATTTGCATGTCAACAAATATATTTATACAATGAAATAGTATGTAACTATGAAAAAGAATGAAGTCCATTTAGCATGCTGGTATAAGATGATCTGCAAGATATTTTTATGGGAGCATAGCAAGGTACAAAGAGTGTATGATATGCCACTGTGTTCAAAACACACTTTCATTGCATAGAATTATATTTTAATGTATCTTTATCAAAGTTATGTGTACGTATTGTTAAAAAACAAAGAGCTCTAAAGGGTTAAAATGAAAAACAGCATCCCTCTTCCTTCATGTCTGTTCCTCAGAGGCAATCTTTCAAATCTTTTAGCAGTTTCTTTTGGTATCTGCCTTCATATTTCAAGATAATATGCTAATACCAATATTTCTTGACTGATTTAATTTGTAGATTATTAACAGTTCGCTTCCTACAATGGCAGATGAGGATTTGGCTCTCTTACACAACCCCATCCAAGACACACACACACATTTCCCCTTCTCGATCCTTTCAGTATAATTAGAGCATAATTTTAGTTAAATCAATTATTACATCATCATCAATTATTATATTTCCTTCCTTATATATCTTCTTACTTTCTCTAGAGTTAGTAATTTTCTCCTGTTCAGTTTGCTTAATTTTTTGTGTACTTCTCATTTACCAATCATTAATTCATCCACAGACTTATCTCCAGAACTAAACATGTATTGTTAATACATTCTAGCACATCAAGTAATATGTAAACTTTTATTATCATTTTAGAAATGCCTCCTGGAGCTCTCCATCTTACTGTCCCATCTAGAATGGCTGTTCTCTGGTCCCAGTGCAGAACTGTCATTCCAGGATCTCCCTTCTCCACCTCTTGAAGATTCTGTTTTATCCTCTCCATCTCCCAGGTCTTCCTCTTTCTTATCGTTTCATTTTTTGGAGTGGAGCACAATCCTCCATATTTCCTGTGAAAGGCCTCATGGTAAAGAAATATTTGAGATCTTATATGCCTAAAAATGCCTTTATTCTCCCCTCATGCTTGAGTAACAGTTTGCCAGGGGTAAGTCCCTCAGAACTTTGAAAGCATTGCCCCATTGTTTTCCAGCTTTCAATATTGTTCTCAAGAAATCACATGCCATTCTGATTCCTGACCTGGTTTTTCTCTCTCTGGAAGTTAGTAGAATCTTCTTTTTGTCCCTATTGTTCTAAAATTTCACATTGCTATAACTTGGCAAAGGTCTTTTACTCATTGATTGTCCTGGGCACTCAATACTTCTTTCAATCTAAAAACTTATAGCATTCAGTTCTGAAAGAAAAAAGAAAGTAATTACAGATGTTCCTCAACTTACAGTGGGGTTACGTCCCGAAAAACCCATCATAAGTTGAAAATGCCGTAGGTCAAAAATACATTTAATGCACCTAACCTACTGAACATCATAGCTTAGCCTAGCCTACCTTAAACTTGCTCAGAACACTTACATTAGCCTACAGTTGGGCAAAATCATCTAACACAAAGCCTACTTTATTAATAATAAAGTGTTGAATATCTCATTTAATTTATTGAATACTGTACTGAAAGTGAAAAACAGAATTGTTGTATGGGTACTCGTCCAAATGCTGACAACCCACACGCTGTAGAATATCAGTTGTTTACCCTTGTGATTGTGTGACTGACTGGGAGCTATGGTTCGCCACCGCTGCCCAGCATCATGAGAGAGTGTAGCACCGCGTATTAGCCTGGGAAAAGATCAAAATTCAAAGTACGGTTTCTACTGAATCCGTGTTGCTCTCACACCATCGTAAAGCTGAAAAATCGTAAGTCAAACCTTCATAAGTTGGGGACCATCTGTATTTCTTTGAGAACTTCCTCCCCCTCTTGTGTTCTCCGTCCAGTTTTTCTGGGACTTCTGTTATTCAGATGTTGCATCTCCTATACTCAGCCTGTAATTTTTCTTTTCTTCTTTCTTACTGTTCTCTCTTTGTCTTTTTATTGTACCTTTTTACAAGATTTCTTGAGAACCTTCTTCCCATTCTGTCTATTCTCTTGAGTTTTTTATTTATTCCATTATATTTTTTAAATTTTTCCCTGAATTTACCTTTTTATTGTCTCCTTGTTTTGTGTGCTCAGTAGCTTTTATTCTCTGATTATTTAAGTTTCTTTGAAGTTTTCTTCTGC